ACCAGAAGATTTATATGTGTTATTTCATTTGACCCTAAACAAACCAATGATGAAAAGGTTAAGATGCCCATTTTGTAGATAAGAAAATCAAGGTCCAGTGAGGTTGAGTAACTTGCCAAGATCACACAGATGATAAATAAAAGAGCTGGGATGTGAAATAAAGTTTTACTCCAAATCTGGTATCTTTCCATGATGGTATTCTATACTCTGACAACAATTTTAGTTTGGAAAAATAGGACTAAAGCTTAGAGGAAAGCTAGATAGAGCTAAAAACATGGTTCCTTTCAGAGGAGGAAATGATTAAGAATGAGGGGAGATTAAAGTCTTACACTATTGGGATAAAGGACTAGAGCAGCACTGTCCAATAAAATTTTCTGCAGTGATGGAAGTGTTTTATACTTGCACTGTCCAATATTGTAGCCATTAGCCCACACGACTATTGAACACTTGAAATGGGGCTAATATGACTGAGGAACTGAAATTTTAATTCTAATTATAATGAATATAAATTAAAAAACCATATGTGGCTAGTGACTATCACATTGGACAGTTTAGAACTAGAGAAACCAGCCAGACATGGAGACAGTCCATCAGAGGAGAGGCCTTGTTGGTAACCCCAAAAATCACTAGGTATTTGATCATCTGCCTTATATCTGTGGGTAAGATTGGTCCTAAGTTTGGGGACTGTAATTCATTAATTAGGAAGGGGTTCTTTCCTACTGCAGACAACAAATTAATTTTACCAAGTCTTATTTTTGGAAGGAGAGTAAGTACAATACTCCACTCCTTTCTTTTCTTTTCCCTTCCCTTCCCTTTCCTTCTTTTTGCCACACCATGCAGCTTGTGGGATCTTAGTTCCCCAACCAGGGATTGAACCCACACTCTTGGCAGTTAAAGCGTGGAGTCCTAACCACTGGACTGTCAGGGAATTCCCCCCGCTACCTTTCTTATATGAGACAAAAATCACAGTCATTTTCTCAGTATTTACATTTTTCTGTATAGAGTGTTACTTAAGAGCTCAAGCTCCAGGCAAACACCTGGGTTCATATCCAAGTTCTGCCACTGAACCGGTTTGTTGTGCCTTGAGTTAAATTACTTCACATTCTCAAACTTCACTTTTACTACCTGTAACATAGGGATAACAATAGTACTAACTCTTAGGGTAATTGTGAAGATTAAGTTAAATAACCTATGTAAAATGCTTAGCCAGTATCTGGAACTGGCTTAGCACCCACTAAAGGCTGGCTATTCTGTAAATAGTACCTTATTGTGATGTTTGCACTTTGCACCTCTGTGTTTTGACATTACTTGACTCTGTTTTTGCATAAGTGAAGGTATTCTCCCAGTTCTCTAAATGTCAGAACATTCCAAAAAAGAAATACACATTCATCAAGATAAAAAAGTGGGTAGGGTTCTGAAAATTCTTATTTGTAGTCATTTGTGTATTTCACTTTGATTTCTGTTTTGATAAAGTACTTTAAATCAGTACAGTGGAAAATCTTAACCCTGATATTTTGTTGTGATCATTAAAATTCCCTTGGTTTAACCTTAGTTCATACACCACATGATCAAGCAAAAATACTAAAAGCTCTAAATGTTAACTCAAAAGATTTCTTGATGTCTGGAAGTTCTGAAGAATGTCGTACTGCTGTAATTAAGATATTTAATGCCTAGTCTCTAATTATCTTAGAAGTAGTTGGATAGGTTGTATAGTGGTTGGATAAATCAAGTACTCTTTAAAGACTAATGACTTCAGAAATAGGAAAAAGTAATAGGATCTCTTTCGTTGCCATCGATTTTGTACTTGGTAACCTTTGGACTGAAAGCATTGTGATGTAGTCTTGCACTTTGTATAGTGTTTATGCAAATAACAAATGTATTTTTTCATTAGATTGGGATGTCAAGAAATCTGTGTTCAAGTGCCACTTCTGCTGAGTTGTCTGTTTAGGAAAAGCCATCTTTGGGCTACAGGTCCTCTGCAGCATCTAAGAGTTGACCCAGACTTGATTCTAGAATGATCTCCTAAGTATCCTTCCAAATAAAATTCCTTGAATCTGCCTTTTCTTTTCCCCTTTGGTCTCAAAGGACGTACACAGGTAATTTTTACTTCCGTGCTTTTATAAACATGCTCTTGGAATATTTCATTTCCTTGGAAAACAATTCATGGGTGAGTCAGCATGACGGGGAAAAAAAACACAATAGATATCAAAATTGCATGAGGTGGTGAAACGGAAAATGATTTTCTTTGTAAACCGAAATGATGAGGTACAAAGAAACCAATGACTTATTTGTAAAATGCGTGGTGGAAGGCTCTAGGCAGCAGAGCTAACGTGCTGTTACTTATGAAGCAACGCGGCGGGTGGGTGGCCAGGAGTCCTCTCCATACTGCCTGAAAATGGCTATGACTATAAACGTTCCTTTCCGTGAGGGAGAAAGAAAATGTGTGTCGGGAGGCGAAAGAAGGAAGGAAGCAAGGAAGGTTAAAAGCTCCCCCCAACCCCATCCTCTCTGGAAATACATCATTAAGGGAATTTCCTCCTGCAGCCACGGAAGGTTCTGTGGCCGTTTCCACGTCACTATTAGGGGCAGCCAGGGATTTTGCTTTTTATGGCGGTGACTTCCCAACTCCTCCTGCGGGTCCCCTGTGGGTCGCCGAATGTCGCCCTCCGCCCGGGACGAAGTCAAGCGGCGAGAAGGGTCGGTAGGCAGGCGGGTGGCGCAGCGGCCAGAAGAGGGCGCAGGAGCGTTTCCTGCGTGAGCGCGGCCGCGGGGCCCGTTTCCGGAAGGCTGATTGCATCAGGTGTGGAGCTCGGCGCCTCCTCTGCCCAACCTGGCGGCCACTGCGCCTGCGCGCGTCTCCCCGCCCCGCCCCGCCGCCAAGGACTCCACCGCGGGTTTTCCTCCCGGTCCCGAAGAGATCAAGCCTGCAGGGGCGGGCGCCGTTTACCGCCCCGTACCCCCGGAGTGGGGATGGTAGGGCTGGACTCCTGGAGAGCTGTGGAGTCTGAGGGAATAGAGTACCTGCGGAAAGATGACCTTCCTGGAAGGCCGGTGGCGCGTCCCGTCTCTGCTGCTGACGGAAGGGGTGGTCTTGGGCTAATTTCCTCGCCTCTCTAGGCCTGAAGGACATAGGCTAGAACTAAAAGGCGTTAGAGTTAAGAGTCTGAATTTTCTCAAAGTAGGTTAAGCTGCGGCCCCCAACTATCCGTGGTGCACGAACTCCATAGGCGTATCTTGGGGTGCAGAGACTCAGCCCCAAGGATGAGAACTTTCATGGATTTATAGGGATTTCTCAGTGGCAATATTGTCTTTGCGTTGCGGAAGGAGTGACGTGATTGTTGGCCTCCAGATTGGTCTGAGGGAAATTGTTCGTGGCAGAGGTTTGGGGGTGCAAATGCCAGAAACCCCTCTTCCACAAGGCAGCTTCCCCCTACCACTCATTCCTTCCAACCCCACTCGAGTGTGCGTCAGGGCTCCATTATACACTCTTTTGTACACACCTAGTAGATTTCCCTCCTAACACTCTTCATTTTTTTTTTTTTTTTGCGGTACGCGGGCCTCTCACGGTCGCGGCCTCTCCCGCTGCGGAGCACAGGCTCCGGACGCGCAGGCTCAGCGGCCATGGCTCACGGGCCCAGCCGCTCCGCGGCATGTGGGATCTTCCCTGACCGGGGCACGAACCCGTGACCCCTGCATCGGCAGGCGGACTCTCCACCACTGCGCCACCAGGGAAGCCCCACTCTTCATGTTTGAAATGACATTTTTGAGTGATTATTTAATGGATTTCTGACCACCTCGCTGGACTAAGCTCTATGAAAGCAGGGGTCTAGGTTTTTTTTTTTTATTCACTGCTATTCCCAGGCTAACCATATGATCTTGTGGGTCCTCAATAAATTTATGACGTCGAAGGAAAAACGTAATGCCGGCCCCAACTGCATTGAGTCCTCTCATGAAGAATAAGGACCGGTGGGGTGTGAGTTTGCTGTTTGAGGAAGGAGTGCATTCTGGAGGTGTGAGGAAGAGGATGAGTGAGGAGGAGCCATCACTTTGTCGTTACTATTAAATTACTTTTAGCACAATCCTCCTGAAGGAGATAGTAGGTAAGGCTGTGTGTAGAGCAGTGGTTCTCAAAGTGCGGTCCTCAGACCAGCAGCAGCACCAGCATCACCCGGAAAGTTGTTAGATGTGCAGATGCTTGGGCCGCACCACAGACCTACACATTCAGAGACTCTGTCCAGCAATCAGTTTCCAAAAACCCTCCAGGCGATTCTGACGCAGGCTCAACTTTGACCACCGCATGGGTGAAGAGCAACCCCAATGATGCTTTGGGGACGTTATTCACAGTGTCTGGGGCAGAGCACTGATTACTACCTATTGAGTATCCATTCTTATCAGGATCTTGCTTGTCTGTTTAAATTGGTTAAAATTTAGTTAATATTCCTGGAGGTGAAAAGGAAATTATGTTTTCCCCCTCCTGCAGGTGTACTTCTTCCTTGAGGCGATCTTGCTGTGATTGTCATATCAAGAAATGGTGTGTGTGTGTGTGTGTGTGTGTGTGTGTGGCATATGCCTGGGGTTCTAGATAAGGAGACAGAAGGAAGGAGATCTCACCTACAAGTTGCAGCTGGATGGGCCTGGGTAGCTCTCATCTGAGGACATTTTCCCATTATAAGGGAATGCAGACATGTGGGAGAAAAGACTAGCCAGGGATAAGGTTACCTTTTGGTGCAGACAGACGCCGAGCCTTATGGAGGGGTTATCATACCGGGATGCATCGCCTTGGGTCTCGACACTCTGGCCCGCATTCCTCCCTGCCATCTTCTCAGATGATAAGGGGAGCGCGAGTTCAAGAGGCCCCAAAGCCTCTGCCTGCAGGGGTCGCTCTAGGAGCGCGGCCCGCCCCCTCCTTCCAGGCCCCCGCCCCCGGCCCCGCCTTTCTCGGGATCCGCCCCCGCCCGGTTGGGCCCCTCCAGCCTCTCCGCGCAGCCGCCGCCAAAGCCCGGAGAAGTGGAATCTCGCCGGCGCCGCTCTCTGAGCGGGACTCGTGGAGCGGCACTGGGCATGCTCAGTGGCCAAAGCCAGTCCTGGTTTCAAGTAGGAAGCTCGTGCGCTGTGCCCGTAGCTGATCCTGGCGCTCCTGGCAGGGCGAGATTGGAGCAGAGCTGCCGGGCGCAGGAGCCGAGGCGAGCGCCGCGCGAACCGCCGGTGAGCCCCGCTTTCTTCCTTGCTTTTGCTCTCGACCCCGGGGCGGCCCGGGAGTACTGGTGAGAGACCCGGGCAGCGGCAGCAGCTTGCGGCGAGTGGCTGCGCGTAGCCGGGGCGGCTGCTCCTCTCCTCCCGGCCCCGAGGGCTGCGCGGCCACTGCCGCTCGCCCAGCCGCAGCCACAGCTGCAGCAGCTGCCACCGCATCTGCAGCGGGCGTCTGCTGCGGAGTCCCGTGCGCCCTGCGCCCGCGCCGCAGGGCTGGGTGGCACGGCGCCCGCGGGCTCACTCCTTGACTCCATCCCTCTGGCTTCTCGGCGCCCTCTTTCCATCGGCAGCCGGGGCTTTGCAGGGCCTGGGGCGGGGGAGACAGGGTTGGAGGGGGTGCTGGGCGGGGGCTGCGGAGGGGAAAAGTGAGGGTGGGCGCCGGCGGGGAAGAGCGCACACCCCCTTGCCCTGGCACCGGCCTCCGCTGTGCGGCTGGGCTCTCCCCGTGCGGCAGCGCGCTCCTGCCGGGGAGTTGAAGACCGAGCTGGCTTATAGGGGATTCAAAGGGGGAAAAGTTCATTTCCCCCTCGGAGGCAGGGAGCGTTTTAACTAGAAAATGGCTGTGCGAAGGGGACCAAATCAGGGAAGCTGGTCCTGAAATCCCCTCTGCTGCCCGCCGGGCGGAATGGAGGGTTGAACGCTAGAAATGACATTTGTGCGATGAAAAAGATTGCTGGACGGAGGGAGGGGTGCGGAGTCCCATAGAAACAATGAAAGGTGATCTTGATGTCGGCGGTGAGGTCTAGAACTGAGGGGTCAGGGGCCAAGGGCCGAAGGAGCGTGGGACCTGGATTTTAAAAAATCATACATTGAAGAAATCAGATTTAGAGTTGTAGCCGTTTTGTAGTCAAGTTCAGCGCTGTTTAGAGCCATGACTGTCCCAGACGGTTTTGGATGGATTGAGTGGTTGGGGAGGACCAACACTGAGAGGAGAATAAGGTCAGTGTCGGAAGCTCAGACAAGATTGGGTGCAGGTTTTTTAGAAGTCCCTCAGTCACTGGCTTTACATTGCGCCTGATGACTTAGGTAAAATACTTAAAGGATTATCATAAAATGATGCCAGCAGTGGTGTTTGAATTCCAAGAAATGAAGAAACTTTGTGAGGTTGGCACTGGTTTGTCATTTGTTTTAATATTTCACTGATTTAAAAAGCAAACAGTGGCATCCTGATCCGTTATTCTGGATTTGGTTCTCTTAAGTCTTTGGTTTATTTTTCTTGTCATGGATTTATACTTCAAATCTTGTCTTTAAATGGCCATGATAATTAAGAATATCTGAATTCGGGTAGATGGCCTTTCAGGAAGGGGGATTTCTTTATGAAGCCGCTTTGTTGTGTTTTCAGTTTGTAGCTTGAAAGCAGTTATTTGTTCAACAGTTGTTCATCGTAACTTGCACAGTCCTAGAAAGGGCACTGTTTTGAAAGGATGACGTTTGTCAGGAGGATGAGGAACGTCCACGCTGGGGGAAATGCTGAGAGAACACAGGTGGCAGTAGAGTACAATGGTCCGGTAGTCAGAACACCTGGGGAAAACAGATGCAAGGTTTCTATAGCTGTCCTTTGGTCATCGGCTTACTATATGACCTCGAAAAATCACTCAGGGTCTTCCTAGGCTGGGCGTGGTCTAGATATTTGCTCAGGACCTTTGAGAAAGAACTCTAAAGTTGAGATCCTTTTCCAGGGAAGGTGTTTACTTCTTTCATTCTCTCTTCAAAAGGATACTTTTAACTAAGTAATTCATCTGCAGGGAGCCAGCAGGGTCCCCTTTTCTGAAACTTTTATAAAGTGGTAGTGGAAAAACTCGATGAGCTAAAGTGTGAAAGACTGGCTTTTTACAGTTAACTGGAGTAATAAGAATACTGACTACAGAATCATCTAGGAAAAGTCTACTAAACAGTGCAAGAATCCACGTGTACAGAGATAAAATATTTTAAAACTTAACTCTTTTTATGTCATGTTGCAACTTTTTGATGACTTTTTTTTTCTGCCACCAGAGAAACAAAAACAAACATCAAATTCTTTTTTTTTTCCTCTCTTTTCTGTTACAGCAGGAATTAATACTGAAAGGCTTGCCATTGTACTAGAACAGGGTTATGTTGATTACCCTAATTTCAGGATATCTAAATTTGTCTTTTATGAGAAATGGAATGTTGTCTCTCTGTGCCTTCTTCAGTTACAGTTTTAAAATATTCAGTACCCTGATGATATAACCCCTGAACTTTTCCAGGGGCACAGAACAGACTTTTAGTAAAGTATTGTAAGAAGATATTACTACTTATGTGGGTGATGGCTATTTTCCTATCCCAAGTTAAGGAAAATAGAATTTGTTCATTATTTACTATGTGTCAAGTCTGATATTGAACTTCTTACATGTCTTATGTGTCAGCATCTTTGACATAAATGTCAGTTTCCCAAGAAAGTCCCTCTGAGGAGGTGGACAGTCCTTTGCTTGTACAGCAATAGAACTTCAAAGTTTTATTTTATATGAGACTATCTTCAACTGTTTTCATTATTATTCAGTAAGCATTCTCTTGTATAACATATTTGTTATTTAGAATTAGACTTGATTGGAACAGCATGTCTTCAAAATGATTTGAATGTTTTTAAGAAGCCTCCCTCCAGGTTTAGAAACTGTTTTATGTTCATTTATTTTCAACAACATTGTACTACCAACAAATAAGTGTAAGGAAGATAAGCCCAGATTACCCATTTTAATTTTATGTGTTATTAGTGCATATTCTGCATGTTGATATGTGTTGATGGCGTTTCTTTCGGTTGAAATAGTTTGTCAAAGGCAGAGTGACAGATTCTCCATAATAAAGGGTCTGGTGGGATTTGACCCTGGGCCAGGGTCATCCACTACTTAAATTTACTGTGTGACCTTGGGAAAGTCAGTTCACTTCTTTGGATCTCAGTTTTCCCATATGTAAAATGAGAGCGTAACAGTAGAAAGCACCCTCTGGGTGTCTGTTGGGCCTTCATGTCCCAGTCCAGGGGCCTGTGATGCATCCATTTGGAAAGGGGGACTATAGATAAAACCTTAGATGAAGCCGATTTTGTTTCACTAAGTCTGGCCTGTCCTGCTTTGTGGAATGCCCTTCCTTTTTTTTGGCCAATTCCTACGTCCATTCTGGTTTTTATTTGTCAAAGGATGGTTGTCATAACATTAATTCTTTGTGGCGCTGCAAGGTTTAGGTAGGAGATAAGGTAATGATTAGATTTGGGTAGAGCGCCGTAGATATTTGAAACTGTTTTACGGCATCTTCTGAGGAGACACTCTGCTCTTGGGCATGCAGGTAATCCAATGAATAAGTCTCCTCTGGGGCTGTAGAGGACGCTGCCCTGTACCTTGGTTGCCGGGGCCTACCCATGTGAAATTTGGATAAACTTTTCCCATGTCCCTGTCCTGCCGATTCAGCTGTTGATCAGAATTGCCGCCCTTGGTCTCTGGAATAAAATTATCATTATCAGTTCATGTTAGCACCATCGCTGTATTGAGCAGGTGCTGTATTGATCTGCTGCCGTAGTAGCAGGAGTGATGGCTGTCGGGATGCAGCTTCGTGAACTTTTCTTTTGGCAAGCCATGATGATGGGGCAGAGAGCAAAGGAAACCTGGTGTTTGTAGTGTACTTTGCTTTTAAGATGGTCACAAAACTCAGCCTCATTAACGTTTAAGTGAGGCAGGTGAAGAGAAGCCAGAGTTGTCAACGTTTAAATAAGTGATAATAAATAGTAAGTCTAGAGCTTCTGATCATAACTAGGCTCCAGTGTTGCTGGGCCTGTGGTAGGAGCGGGGCAGTAACTGCGAACACCAGGTGAGAGCTGGAAGAGAGGAAGGACATGGAGGCTAGAAAGTCAAGTCATCACAACTTGGCAAGAAGTAAGAAGCCTTGATCGGTTTAAAGGTATCAGAGGCCATTGGGTGTAGAGTTACAGGAGACATTCCCTCTGTACATAACCTTATTTCCATAATATTTGGATCCTACCTAGTCTTCTAAGCATTGAACAAATGCTAGGGCAGGCATTACTTTTACAAGCAGGAAAAAAGTCACAATGTATCACTTATTGGTGTATAAAATGTGCAGATTCATATGGACAGCTATGGAAAGAGAACATGCGAAAAATAAATGGTATGGAATTATGGATTAAGGTTTTTCTTTATTGTTTGTGAATGATTTGGTCACTGTAAATAAAGCGAACCATTCTATCCTTTGCCTCTTGTGAAAATCTTGCAAAATTTTGTCTGCTAGGCGATAACTGAGGTTTTTGCAGTGTAACTCTCCTGGAAAGTATGCTTCAGGAATGCTTGGAGTAGGAGGCAGAATGGTTTGTTTTGATTTTTACCTTTCAAGTTGACTAAAACGACTGCACTTTTGGAACTGAGCTAGGAGAAGTGTGTGCTTTGGAGGACAAGGTTGGGGAGAACTTGCAGAGCTCCAGAGAGTGAAGGGAACCTCTGTTGTTGAAGAAGGAAGACTTGGCATTACTGGTGGTATGGAAGGCAGTGTTTCCCAAATCGCTCCCCTATGAATCAGAGCTTAGTTTCTACACAATATGAAAGTAACTGAGTGTCTACTATGTGCACGTCACAGTGCTAGGGCTGTTGTCTGTTGGTGAGGTTTCCACTCTCCTTATCCAAGTGATGATGGCAGTGTAGTGAATATTTCATAAGTGTGTTCAAATTAGATGTGTCCTTTTCTCTGAGATTATATCATTCGGATATGGGGTAAGATTTCTTTTACAAATTGATGGGAATATTTTTATTTGGCAGCTTAATGGTCCATGAAATTGATAAGTCTGGGAATCTGGGCCTGAGATGTAGAGAGCTCTGCCCTCAGGCTCAAGTTGAATAGTGGAGGCCAGGCCAAACTGGAGCTTCTGGGTGGGCTGATGGCGCCTCCAGGCCTTCCAGGAATGTGGAGTCATTGGTACAGACCCAAGGTCCTAGGAGCTGAGA